TTGGTTTCCAGAACCAAAAAAGAAAGAAAAAAAGGAAGGAAGGAAGGAAGGAATTGCAATGTGTGCAATCGCAATCACAGGTCTTGCTCTGCGTCTTGGCAGTAGAGGTGTGCTATGGGTGCGATGTCCCAGGCTGCTGGAGCTGTGGATAGGAAGGGGAGCATTTGGAGGAGCACTGTCTTGCAATTGTTTCCACTGAGACTAAGCAATGGCTGGGGGAGGGGCTCAGGTGGTAGAACACCTGCCTAGCAAGTGCAAAACCCTGAGTTCAAACTCCATTACTGCCAAAGAGAGAAGGAGAGGGAAAAGGAGAGGGAGAGAGAGAGGGAGACCATGCAAGGAGTAGAGGAGGGAGAGGTGGCCTGGCACGAAGGTCCCAGTCACAGTTATTACTAGGCATTTAGCTAATTAAGCACCCAGTTCAGAAAATACCCTGAACTCTGGTCTCCCGGGATTTAAGGACTGGGAAAGCCAATGTCTTTGAGGAGGGGGCTAGGTCACTTGCTCCTTGTAGATATTGCCTGTCCACTTGTCCATTTCTCAAGTGACATTGAAAATTAGTCTTTGAAACTTTTTTTTTTTTTCCGATGACAGGGATGGAATCCAGGGCCTCCTTCATGCTACGCAAGTGCTCTACCACTGAGCCACACCCCTGCCCCTGAAATAGGTGTTAAAACCTGGAGATGCCCCCTAATTATCCACGTGACCTCTAACAAATCATCTCACCTTTCTGAAGCTCAGAGTCCACCTCACCTGAAAGTGAAATGATACCTGTCGCCTGTCTGAACTTTTTTTCTCACCTGTAAAATAAGGCAGGCAATAGACTGATGTCTACTAGGATGAGAGGTGTTCCTGAGTCAACCCCTCCATGAGCCAAACAAGCCAAACACGTCCAGGCATTAGTAGGAATTCCTCCTATCTCTAACTTTTTCTCTTTTTGGAAGTCAGTTTGCAAAGTTCTGTGGGAAAAGAGGGAGGAGTAAAAATCTCAAACTGAGGACGTGCCAAAGTCCACAGAGAGGTATGAAACCACGGGTTTGTGAATGTGGTCACTTCCTGAAGGCAAGTCTATGTGGTCACACTAGAGGTCCTGCACTGCATAGACATATTACAGCCTCACAGTTAAGGACTGGGGGTGCGACTCAGTGGTAGGGTGATTGTCTAGCATGTCTGAGGCCCTGGGTTCCATCTCCAGCATCCATAAATAAATAAAACAATTATCTGAGTCTTTTAATATGTTGTTAGATTTGATTGTTAGTAGTATATTTGAACTTTCACGTGCACAATTAAATAATATTGGCCTAAGATTTCCTTCCCTTCTTTCCTCTTTCTTCTTTTGTGCTCTACAACTTGGCCTTGCTAGGTTTTAATAACTGTTATAATTCCCTCCAAAAAGAAAAGAAAGCTTTACATCTTTTCTGTGTTCTGAACTCATTATTTTAAAATACTTTAATGAAAAAGCAAATATGGGTTTGAAATTCACTTGATTGAAGAAATATCATTATATTTGTTAATTAAAGAAGGGAAAGAGCTATTTGCATATTTAAATCTATTTAAATGATAAGCTTTGGGATGGCTGAAGTTCTTCTTTATCCCTTACTTGAAGTTACAATGACTCCTGATGCTGACTACAAAGAGCTGGAAGAGACCATTATTAAGAAGCCTCCATCAGGAATTGTGCACACCATTTTAATTGTAAAACCTCATAGAAGAAGTTGCATTTATAGAACCAAAATCAGGTTTCTTTCTTTCTTTTTGATGCTGGGAGTTGAAACCAGGGTCCAGCACATGCTGTGATCCACATTGAGCTATACTCCCAGCCCAAAATCAAGTTGGTTTTTTTTGTTTTTGTTTTTTAAATTTAAATTGTTGTTCTGGGGGTACATTTACAAAAATTCTTACAATATATCATAGTTTAATTCATCATTCTCCTTTATCTCCCCCCACCCAAGTTTTTTTTTCTTTTTTTGGCAGTGTTGGTCATGTTGTTTTTTGGTTTTTGGGTTGTTTTTTGGCGGTACTGGGGTTTGAACTCAGGGTTTCACTCTTGTTAGGCAGGTGCTCTACCACTTGAGCCACTCCATCAGCACTTTTTCAGGCTGGGTATTTTCAGGATAGGGTCTTATGAAATATTTACCCAGGCTGGCTTCAAACCGCGATTCTCCTGTCTCAAAATCAACTTTCTTAAGAAACAATTTTACAAATATTTTATTTAGATTTTTTTTTTTTTTGGCAGCACTGGAGTTTGAACTCAGGGCCTCATGCTTGATAAGCAGGTGCTCTACTACTTGAGTCACTCTGCCAGCTCTTCTTTGATGATGGCTTTTTTCCTGATAGGGTCTCGGGAACTATTTGCCAGGGCCTGCCTTAGAACAGTGATCTTCCTGATTTCCACCTCCTGAGTAGCTACAATTACAGGTGTGAGCCACAGGCGTCTGGCATCTTATGAAATGTTTTATTCATTTCTTTCACCATCATATGTAATATGTAGAAATGGAATGAGTTTTTCCCCAAGGCCCACATAGACAGTCCCAAACCCCTTCCAGCTTTTTCTGTGTGCAATTTCAATAATTTATGTATGTGTGATGTGTGTGATGATAGGTATAAGGTTGGGCTCAGCTAGAGGTCTGGTTAAAAATTTTGTGGAAAACTGGGCACCGGTGGCTCACGCCTGTAATCCTAGCTACTCAGGAGGCAGAGATCAGGAGGTTCACAGTTCAAAGCCAGCCCAGGCAAATAGTACTTGAGAAAAAAAACCCATCAAAACAAAAAAGGGCTGGTTGAGTGTTTCAAGGTGTGGGCCATGAGTTCAAACCCCAGTACCGCAAAAAAAAAAATTTGCTGTGGAATACTACAGAGCTAGAAAAAAAGAATGGAGCTGTTACAAGGGGATAGTGGCTGAAGCTGCCCAATGAGTACATAGAAATTTATGTATTACGGAAACTTCTACAAGGTTCATTATATATACGTGGAAATAGCACAGCAAAGTGTGTTAACTATTCGTGTTAAATCAGGCATCCTGCCATATACTTGTAATCCCACCAGGAGGCTGATGGAGGATGGAAGATTGAAGCCAGCCTGGGTTGTTTCAACAACAAAACCATTTGTGTTATAAAAAAAAAAAAAAAGTAGATGGAGGATCAAATCTATTTTGTGTTTACCTTGTTTGTGAAAAGATGTTTCTGAAAGAGGGGACTTGAACGGGCTATGGTAGAGGGCAGGAGACAGGTGGGTGGCAAAGCTGGAGGCTTTGCTCTTGAACCGAGAACGGTGACTGATCGCAGGAGAGCGGGAGAAAGCTTTGAACCCGGTACCCAAGGGCTGGAAGTGTAGATGTCTTTCTGGTGAGCGAGTCTGGAGGACACTGGGCGGGAGACAGAGGTCGTGGGCACTGAGGTACAGCGCTTTGGTTTGCGGCTTTCAGGTCGCACCATGTGGCCACCAGGGGGCAGTCAGGCCCGCGCCTGAAAGCGGGTGGGGCGATCTGCGCGGCAGCCACGTGTCACTCGGAGCAACGCCTGCGCGGGCGGGGTCGGCCAGGCCCCCCACCTCCACTGGGTCGCGGTATTCAATCCCGACCACTCTCCGGAGAGGTGCCACCATCATGCCCCGCCACTTTTTTTTTTTTTTTTTTTGGTTCTGAGGTTTGAACACAGGCCTTCACTTTGAGCCACTCCACTAGCCCTTTTTTGTGATTTTTTTGTTTTTTCTGAGATAGGGTCCGAACCGCGATCCTCCTGATCTCTGCCTACTGGGTAGCTAGGCATACAGGCGTGAGCCACCGTCGCCTGGGTTATCATGCCCATTTTGTAGAGGAGAAGGCTGGGGCACGGGTGGAGTGAGTTGTCTAACGTCACAGGACTCATGGTGACCCTGCACACCTTGCCTGCCCACCCTCAGATCCAGCTTTCTCACTGGTCTTGGCGGCTCCACTCTCCTGCCCTCCAGAACGTTCCCTCTGAAGGGCCATCTCTCCCTCACTGCCCTCATGTCACACCTCTCTGGCATTTAAGTCCAGGCTTCCTTGGTGCCAGACACGCCAGCTTTCCTTCAGCCTGGAGCTGGGGAATCCAGCATCGCATGGGTGTCACTGTTGCTCTTTATTAGTGCCTGGTATTGAACCCAGGCCCTTGGCCATGCTGACACATCAACATTTATTTTTGGTGGCATTGGGACTTAACTCTGGGTCTTGTGCTTGCTAGCTTGCTAGGCAGACACTACCACTTGAGCCAGACTCTTGAGCCCTGAATTCCCTTCCTTCACTCATGAATCCTTCAGGCCCTCCTTCCTGTGTTGCTTCATTCAGGGAGCCCTCCCTGCTTCCTGCCTTCCAGACAAGCTCAGAACCCAAGTTAAATGGTGGAGTACTCCCTATGAGCATCTTGGGCTGCATGGCTTCAGATACATGCTTCATCTCGTATTTAGTTCCTGTACTTACGATGCTTCACCATTCCAAAACTCTTTGTTTTTTCTCTAGAGCCATCTCTAATTCATTTGATTTCTGACGGACTGAGTTACCTCAAGAACCACTGCTTCTTACTTCCTCCCTGAAGTCCTTCATGTCTTGCCAGAAAACTGCAACAGGTCCTCATGGAAGGCCTATTAGCAGCTAGGGCTGTGTCTGTCTCTCCCTCCCCTCAATAGAATGGATGCTCCAAAAATGCAATGGCTTTGTTTGCTGCAGGACCCTCAGTGCCTAGGGCTCTGCACAGGCAGCAGAGCCCAGTAAACATTTGCAAAGGGCTATTTGACCATCTCTAGACAGTCTAGAATGTCATTCTAGCCTGTCAGTTCTAGTCTAGATGTCACCGCTGAGGGCCAGCCGGTATCCAGTACACAGTAGGTGTTCAACTCAAACTCCTGCCCATGTGCAGATGAAGAAATTAGGGGGAAGGGGGAGACAGGATTTGGTGAGGCCCCCAGATGCCATCCCCTGCCCCTCCCCCACCCACAAGCAGCTTCTCCCTTCCCATCATGGAGCACACAGAACCCAGGCTTGCTGTTCACTGAGTCAACACAGTTTATTACCGAACTGCACTTTCACCTTCACACAGACTATTTCAAAGAGCTGGAACAAGTGTGTGGGGGGGAAGGGGCAGGGGAGGGACAGGTGCCCCTCAGGAGCCAGGACCCCCCCTGGCCAGCCCGGGCCAGAGTAGGGGAGGGAGCATTAGGCCATCAGTCTCCGGGCACCAGCTCTCCACGTGCACGCGCACAGCAAGCCAGCAGCTCCTCACACATAAATACAGACACGCTTAACAAAAATAGTATATCATCTTCACAAGGAATAAAAACTAGTCTTGAATATGTACAGCAGAGAGCCCGGGGCGGCCAGAGCTGGGCTAGAACCCCCAGGGATGAGACAGGCCAAGGGTAGAGCAAAGGAGAGAGGGAGGCCTGAAGGTCTCCTGGCCAGGCCACTCTGACCTTGGCAGCCTGGCTGTCCAGGCTGATCAGGGGTACAGCACAAGTCTGCCTGGCTGGAGAGGACAGGCCCCTCCACCATGTGCACCAGGCTCTCCTACCTGCCCTTCCTGCCTGAGGTAGGGAAGACCCCAGGGTTCCCACAGCTGCTCCCTATAGCTCCCCTTCACTTCTGGGCTGGATCCTCTGCTCCTGGGCCCCATGAGTCCAAGGCAAAGATGCCACAGGCTCATTTCCTTGCAGAAAGTGAGGCAGCTGAGGCCATAAACAGCTCTGGGGCACCTGTCTTGGGCCCTGTTGGTCCTTCAGTCATGGTCATAGGAGCCAGGGGAGAGGCGGGGAAGGGACTAGGGTGGTGCTAAACTGTAAGGGCCACCCTAGTTTTAGCATTGGGTGCTTCCTGCAGCTATGGCCCCCTCCCTCCTGGGGCTGGCCTCTAGCCAGAGGCCTCTGGAGAACATTCAGACTAGGAGTGAGGACTGTAGCCAGGCCAGAGGTGGGGAAGAAGTCCTGGTCCTTGCTTCTCTATCCCAAGCACCTGAATGCCTAATTAGTCAAAAGTGGCCTTTAAATGGCTCTTGGGGGTTGAGATGGAAGGAGGTGGGGCCCAGGTCCAGAAGGGGATGGGAAATGATCAATTCTGAGGCCACAAACATCAAAACAAAGGCAATCTAGTCTCTTTCTGGGGAAAAGGTTCCACAAACTTCAGCCCCCTGGCAGGAAAACATTCTCAGGAGGTTCGGGGGTAATACCAATTCTACCAATCAGGCAGGGTCCTCCTGCCCCACCCCCCCATCCCTGCCAACCTCTATGGGCCAGATTTGGGGGAAACTTTGTTAATTTTGAGGCCAAGAGAACTGAGGTGTGGGGAATGTGGCTCTCACAGAAGCATGGTAGATTCTAGGAAACTAATTGCAGGGGACCAGGTCAAAGCCCAACCCTGTGATGGGGTGGGGGGTGGGCATGGGTTGCATGTAGTGATTCTCCTGGTAGCAATGGTGGCTGGATGGAGAGATGTGGGGGCAGAGTAGGAGGTGGGAGGGTGAGTGGGTGGTCAGTGTCTGGTCATTTCCGACTGAAGAGCGAGCCCAGCAGAACCACGCCAGCCACAGTCATGCCTGTCAGGAACCAGCGGTTGAAGCGCTCCTGGCCCTTCCGGCTCTCGGCTGCTGCATTGTTTCCATAGAGTTCCACAAAAGTGTCCTGCAGGGAGAAACAAGGGAAGACACCATGTAAATCCTCTTGACAATTACAGGTCTGGGTAGGAGAAAAGGAGCATATGATGACAGTCCTGGTGTTTTGGAAAACTATAGTCATCAGTGCCCACTCTGGGCTAGAAAAAAGGTTAAGGGTTGCCCTTCTTGACTGTCAATTGAGAACAATCAACTCAGCTTACTACTAAATACACAGGACCTGGATCAGACAGCCAGGAGTGGGACTCACTCTAGAACCCAATAAGGGAAAAGACAGGAACTGACAGAAGCCCAGGTGGCTGGGTGGACTTCAGGAGAAGAGGGATGGGGGAGATGAGGGAGCAGGGGAGAGCATGAAACAGACCATGTGCAGCCTCCTGCCAGCCTTTCCACTGCTATGCTAGAGGGAGGGAGGAGTGGTTCAGGGTAGTGGGTCTTGGAACTTTTAGGCAGAGGCTGGTTTTCCCTCTAGTGGGGTCTCTGGCCAGGGCAGCCTGCCTGGTGAATGGGAAGAGCAGGGCAGAGCTGAAGTAATAAGAATGAAGATTTGGGACACAGGATTGAGAAGACCCATTGCTGCTCCCCACCCCAGAGTTGTCTGGGCCGAGGAAGAGGTGAGCAACAGCCCGCAGCCTTGAAGCTCAGTCAGGAGGGAAGCATATGACATGGGAAAGGAGGGGCTGTGGGCTCAATTACTCAGCCCAGGGCAGCCAGCCTGTGGGACCAGAAGCAGGAGGCTAGGAGCACCCTTCTGTGAGTAAGCTTCCAGTCTACTTCATCCTCTAATCCTCCCAGCAGGGCCGCAATGGGCTCTTTCTCCATGTACAGATCAGAAAGCTGAAGCTCTCAGGGCCAAGGAAATGGATCAAAGTCACCTCATCTGGGCACCAAGCTTGGTCAGCAGAGGAACCAGAACCCAAACCTGGTGTCTGGCCACTAGAAATAAGTGCTCAGTGTGTCTGTAAAGTGAATGGATCACTGGCTGGCTCCAGAGCCCATGCTCTTGCCTCTGTAGGGTCTATGTCTCCAACTGGCTGAATGGCAGCAGCACACTCAGACAGGGTCTGCCCTCTCCAGGTCCCACCCATTGGTGTGCTCACTTAGGATACCTGCCTGGTCCACTTCCAGTCTGATGACCCTCTCAGGCCACGCACCACCCAGAGATTTCTAAAATTAGACATCAGCTCATGGCACACCTGTGCTTACAGTCCTCCATCAGCTCTCCCTGCACTTAGAAAGCAGTGTCATTTATTTTTGTATTCTTGCTACCTAGCAGAGTGACATGTACCCTGAACTGAGACTGGATCAAAAGAATCTTCAACATTTATTAAGTCATTAGGGATATAGCATTGAGCCATGAACCATGGCACTTTCTGTAGAGTTCACTATCTAGTTGGGGAAAAGGAGCTGTAACAGGCAAGCAGATAGGGAAAGCCCCTCCATGCACACACATCTAATCCAGTCTCTCCAAGCTCTCAACCTTCTCAAGGCTTCCCTCACATCTGGAATAAAGTCCCCACTCCTTCCCATAGCCAGCAGACTATCGAGCCTAGTTCTCTCTGCCCACACTTTCAGTCACGAGGCCTCTGGTGATCCTCCTGACACAATATCTAAAACTGTACTCATCTCTCTGCCTACCCCCTAACCTTGTCTTATTTTTCTTCTTAGCACTTTTCTCCCCCCCACCCTCACCCCTTTTTTTAAGACTGGGTCTTATTATATTGATCAGGCTGGCCTTGAATTCTCTATATAGCCCAGGCTGCCCTAGAACTTGTGATTCTCCTGCCTCAGTCTCCTGAGTGCTGGGATTATAGACATATATCATTCTGCCTGGCTCTTCATACCCAGACTGTGTACTTTGTTTTGTTGGGATTTGTCTCCTTTACTAGGTGTGTCTGGATGATAGCAAAAATTCTGTCTTATTCCTACATACCCAATATCCAGAGAACTAGGTCTGGCACAGGCTTGGTGCTCAATGGGCTTGTGTTGCCTAACAACATTTCAGTCAACACACAGATACAACAGTGCTCCCATAACATTGAAATGGAGCGGAAAACTTCCTATCCCCTAGCCTAGTGAAACTGTAGCTCTTGTAATGTTCCAGTGCGATGCACTCTCACGAGTTTGTGATGATGATGGTGTAAACAAACCTACTGGGCTGCCAGCTGTATGGAAGTGAAGCACAGGCCATCCTCTTCCTGTAAGTGGCCTGAGGAAACCTGTGAAAATGGCTCACTACTCTCTTGACTGAAAACCCCACAAAATCATGCAAATCATGAGGTTCAAATCTTCATGTTCACTTTTAAGAATTTCCATGAAACTTCCCAAGCCATCAAAGGTACATATATTTGGTGTACATTATGAAAAGTCGTTAAGTATCTGAAAGATGTCACTTTAAAGAAGCAATGTAGGGCTGGGCCCGATGATTCACACCTGTAATCCTAGCTCCTTGGGAGGCTGAGATCAAAAGGATCAAAGTTCGAGGCCAGCCTGGCAAATAGTTAGCAAGACCCCCATCTCCAAAATAATCAGAGCAAAATGGACTAGAGACATGGCTCAAGAGGTAGATGGCCTGCTTTCTAAGTGCAAAGCCCTGAGTTTAAACCCCAGTCCTAATAAAAAACAAAAAAAACAAAAAACAGTGGAGTTGATAGATGTGCCCAGGCCAAACAGTGGGACTCGACACAGGGTCGATGGCCCAAAAAGACAGCTAAATTTTTGCTGCACAAGCTTGAACATGCAGAGTAATGCTGAACTTAAGAGTTTAGATGAAGATTCTCTGATCACCAAACATATCCAGGGGAACAGAGTACCCAGGATGCTCTGCTGTACTTACAGAGTTCAGTCACACGGAGATGATCCTCTCTGAAAAGGAACAAATTGCTCCTACCAGAAGAGAAGGTTGCACAGAGGAAAAAGATATCCCAGAAGAAACAAAAATTTATGGCACGGGAATAAATTCAGCATAAAATAAATGCAAATATAAGCAAATAAAACCCCAAAGCACACACAATTGCATACAGTACGTAACAATTAATGATAATGAACATCTATGTTACTGGTTTATATATTTGCATACCATACTTTTTAATCGTTATTTTAGCGTGTACTTCTTCTCACGTAAAAAATACTCACCATACACTGGCTGTGTTGGACTGGTAGCAGCCTCAGATGCCAAGTGTTTACTGCCTCTTTGGATTGCATCAGTTTCTCTTGTGCTACCCTGTTTGTCAAGTACACTCTGTGATGTTCATGAAACAACAAAATGGCTGAATGACACATCTCTGTTTGTGTCCTAGTTGTTAAGCAACACATGATGGTACACACAGCTCAAATGTATTGCAAGTCCACTAAGCAACAGTGCAGGCACTGTTACTGCACGTCCCCTCCGTCAGAGTCCTCAGAGATAGAGGTGTGTGCCCCCACTTCACAGATAAGATGTCTGAGGCTTACTGTAGCTAACAGACAGCAGTGACAGGACTGGACAGCAGACCTGCAGAGTTTCACAGTGAGTGCAGGTGCTGGGGCTGTGGTTCAGCATGGAACCACATGTACTGGGTTCCACCCTGAGCAGATCACAGAGAACACTACTTCAGCAGTGCTGAAAGGGTTTTACAGAAAATGAATGTGGAAGCAGGGGTGAAGTGGAGCCATGGTTCTGGGCAGAGGAGGCCAATGGCTGGCTGTGCCTCCCTGTCTCCCTTTCTTCCTGGCTGGTCTCTGTCAGTCTTGGCAGATTAAAAAAACTTTTTGTGTGTGATGAGTATTTTCAAGATAGTGTCTTGCAATTGGGACTGGCCTCAAACTGTGATCCTCCTGATCTCTGCCTCCTGGCTAAATGATTTTTTTTTTTTTTTTTGCAGGGGTGGTACTACTAAAGATTCAACTCAGGGCCTCTGGCTTGCTTGAGCCACTCTGCCAGCCCCAAAGTGTTTTCTTTTTTGGCTGTACTAAATCTTGAACTTGGGGCCTCATACTTGCCAGGCAGGCATTCTGCCACTTGAGTCACTGTACCAACTAAAAAAACTCTTAAGAGAGGTTTAATTTTTCTACTCTCAAGTGAAGTAAGTCGAGGTGGCGTTACAGAAAGACTTATTATGTGTGATAGGGGATAGCTCTGGACTGTGGGGAGCACAGGAGAAGTCAAGCCATGGCCAGAGGCCCTGATTATCCCAAAGGGTCAAACGTCCCACAAGGAAGCAGGGACACGGGTTGTAGCCAAAGTGGGACAGGCCGGGCTCCCACAGGAAACTTTCAGCTCTGGGGCTGAGCTGGAGTAAACAGGCCCTGTCTCGGCAAGGGCACAAAGCATTCACTGTCCCGGAGCATCACTCCAGGGTGGAGGGAGTGTTCTCATTTTGGTGCCACAGAGAACAAGGTACTGACCAGCTCTATACCCCACATGTGGTGTGTTCCTGCCAGGACAATCTCTACTTCAGAGCTCCTTCTCCTGGGAGGGGAGAAGGGATTGGACTGGATTCTGGGACTGCTTTTGCAGAGAGGGAGATTAGGGCATGCTGTTCCAGGGTGGGGGCTGGAGAGGCAGTGGTGTGGGTATATTTAGCCCCTGGTTCACACGACACACTTGGAAACAAACACAGCCATTTTCTCAGCGGGCGGCTGCTCTGGATAAATAAACAGGATTGCAGAGCAGCCCTAGTCTGGAAAAGCAGAGATAAACCCTTGCTGCTCTCCGGGTGGCTTCTACTGATTTCAGCTAGACCCATCATAATGGGCAGGGGACAAGGTGAGGGTAGGGTTCAAGGAGGTCTCTGAAGTCACGGAGGCTCTGAGGAGACCCAGGGTGGATGGCCTATCTGTATCCTCAACTTGGGTTACAGTAAAGTGGGAGTTTTTGGAGCTGACTACTGCCCTGGGGTTTTAGGAACACTGGGGACAAGCGATAGCTAATGACCACTAGAAGAGCGATGACTCCTAGCTAGGCAAATTCCACAAGTCAGCAACCCACTTGCCCATTCTGAAGTTTCCCACAGCAGGTTTGTGGCAGAGCCTACATTAAGACCCTGGGTCTCCTGACCAGGTCCCCAGGAGAGGTCCAGGCTGGAACCACTTTTATGGTCCTTCCTCCAACACTTCAGAACCTCCAATAGTCCTGGCCACACACATGGAAGGGCCCCACACACACAGTCTAGACTGCTTGTGCCTTTGCCCACAGTGTCCTCTAACTGTTCACTCTTCCCACATCTCTCTTCCTCAGTCACTAACAAGACTCCACTATAGAATGTTCTCTTCTCCACTTGCCTCTCCTCTAACTCTGGGATGAATGTCTCCTCTGTACTCCCCAAAGCCCTAGACTTTCATTCATACCACAAATATTTATTGAGTACCCACGAAGCTCCCAATCCAGCATTGGAGATACAGCAGTGAATAGGCTTCCAATGGAGTCTCTTAGTTCTGGTTCACTCTCATGGCGGTGAGAGAGGCTCAGTGCAGTGAAGTAAAACGTCGTAGACATTACAGTCATCTGTGGCTCTCCACAGGGCCACAGCACATAAGATATGCTGTGCTATTCCAATTTCATGGGAGGGCAATTAGTACAAAAAGTCTAAAAAGCCTCCTGAGGGGATACTGATAAGAAAAAAAAAAAAAAAAAAGGTCGAGAAACACTGTTCTAGCAGGAAGCAGAGAAAAGATCACAAGAAAAAACAAGATAATTTGGGATGATGGAATTCTGAAGAAAGTCAGTAGAGGTAATAGAATATCTGGGGGCCTGGTAGAGGTGGAACAGTCAAGAAAGTCTCTGATGACTAAGAGAGCTGTGAGCTGAGACCTGAATGACAAAGTGGCAGAGGACATTCAAGGATGACAATATCAAGCCAGGTGCCGGTGGCTCACGCCCATAAACCTAGCTACTCAGGAGGCAGACATTGGGAGGACTGCAGTTCGAAACCAGCTGGGTGAGCAGTTTGCGAGACCCTATCTCAAAAAATCCTCCACAAAAATAGGGCTGGTGGAGTGGCTCAAGATGAAGGCCCTAAGTTCAAACCCCAGTACTGCCCAAAAAAGAAAAAAAAAAAAAAAGGCTGAAAATATCTTAGGTAAAAAAGAACATGCTCCAAGGGCTTGGGGGTGTAGCTCAGTGGTAGAGTACCTGCCTAGCATGTGTGAGGCCCTTGGTTCCATTCCCAACACTGCCCCCCCCGACACAAACAAACAAATAAACAAAAAACACCCCAAAACAACAAAACCAGCCTCTGCTAAACCTGGTCCATCTTCCAATTTTCATCCTTTTTCTCTCTCACCTCCACACCTTTATGCTTCTTCCTTGCAGTGTGACTTTGAGCAAGTTACTTTACCTCTCTAGTCTATAGTATCCTCACTTGATAAACAATAAGAATAAAATAACTGTTAAATAACTGTTATGATCTTTTTTTAATATTTAAATATTTACCTGTGTCAGGCACTAATCTAATTCACTTTATGACATGTACAGTCATACTAACTTGACATTACTGTGTGTCCTGTCTTCCCCACTAGAATGTGTGTCTTTGTTACCTGTACCTGTAGAACCTGAACATAGCAGGTATTATTCTAAAAAAATCTGTTGTGGACACACACATGAATACTTTGATGGAATCCTCATAGCATTTCTTAACAGTCCATTTTACAAATGTGGAAGTGGAGGTCCCAGTTTACTTAAGATCCCTACCTAGGCAGTGATGTGCTGGGATTTGTCTGAGTTCTAGCTGTTACTCATTCTGATGTCCTATCTTGCAATCTCAGTCCCTACTACCTGTTCCCACAGCAATCCTGACCTCTCCAGTGGTGGCTGTCAATGCCTGAGTACCGACCTGAGAGACCCTCTGCTCTTTCTGAAGGTCAGCTCATCAAGTGCCCCATGTGCCTCAGTGGGTAGCACCACAGCTGATGGTGGTACCATCATACTCAGCTGATGGCTCTGAGGCCACATCTGTGGGCTCAAGGTCACATAGCAAGCTGGTGGCCTGGCTGGGATGTCCACACCAATAGTCTGGCTCAGTGCCCTTCCTAAATTTCAAAGAACAGAACTTTTCCAGCTCCCATCCTGAGCCAAGTGCCAGCACTTTGGTGATTAAAGAAGGTTCTCATTTTGTGAGCTCAGGTAAATGGAGGCTAAGGGCAACCAAGAGACCTGGCCAAACAGGTTAAGTGGGGAAGCCAGTTTTAAGTCCCAGTATGTTTGGCAGCAATCCCCATATTCTGGACCAACACCATGGCCCTCAGCCCTTCTAGGAGGGTAAAGTGGCTGGAGGCTAGGCTAGGAGCTGAATGAATGAGCTCTGCCCAGGTTGAGAGGTGTCACAGGGAAAGGATATGACGAAAACCAGGAGGGAAAGTGAAACCTTCTGTTCCTGGCTTCAGTGGGGAACAAGTTCTTGTGCCAGACAGCTCTTCCTTCCTCTTGGTTGACTGGGGCCCACCAGGTCTGGGCCCACTGCTTCCTTCCTGCTTGGTTATTTCAGGAAAGAGGTAGGTGGAGGAGAGGAAGGGGCTCCTTGTAGCCAGGGAAAGTGCTAGTGACATCAGGTCTGTACCTTACTCTGGCTTTGTCATGGCCTGAATGAGTCACTTGCAGAGTCACTTTCTGCTCCTGGCCTCAGTTTCTCTGAGGGCAAAGCTGATCAATGCCTATTGAGTAGACAAACAAGGCTTTGTTTGGAGAGCCATAGGAGATGGCAGGGACGGGGTGGAGCAACCAGAGGCTTTATCGCTCCCTTGGAAGGGAGTTGCAGGGAAGTGAGGTTTGTGGTTGGAATACACTTCCCTTGGCTTTCCTAGGGCAGATGTTGGCCTCCTTGATGTGAAAGGAACAAGCCTTTCTCCTCTGCCCTGGGGAACATAAGCCAGGAGTTCAGAGAAATAGCTCATTGGGCAGGGACAAGGAGATGAGTGGCCAGTCTGTGCTGGGGCCCACGCCTCAGTCCAGCTGGGCCTGCTGTGGGCACCATAGCAAGCCTTTTAACTTTGGAGCCTCAGTTTCTCCTGCCTTGACCTCATAGGGCAGTGGTGGTGAAATGGGGGGGGGGGAAGAAGTGGCAAAAGCACTTGGTAAAGGAAGCAACCTGACCTTGGGGTTATTGGCTAAAGGGGGAAGGGGTTCTTGAGGGGCCGAGGCCATCATCTGGGATTCAGTGACTCTTTCAAGGCACTCTCAGAGTACACTTCATGTTCCTCTTCCTTCAACTCTGCCTGTCAGCTGCCAGCCTCCACCACCCACCCCCACGGCCCCATTAGTTCTAAGAAGCAGGCTGACAGATGTGCTCATTTCTCAGAAGGAGGAAGTGGTTGTGCTCGGAGGAGATAACACCTCCACCGGGGAACTGAGAGAGCTATCAGGCCCAGCAGTGAGAGAAAGGCCCTCATCTCCCTAGCTCAGAACTAGGCCGCCAGGCTTGGGCCCAGGAAGAGGACACACAGGCACTTACTGGGCAGAGATGCTCGATGGGGCTTGTGACTACCTGCCCTGAGAGTGCTGGCAACATGATGTAGCAGTCCCATAACATAAATCAACCCCATGACATCTTAGGAATGTGGAAGCCCCCACAACCTGGCAGAAGTGGAGAAACCAGCTCGGCCAGAGGACCAAGAGGTACAGGAGGCCCAGGCATGACCTATGGGATTCCACTACGAACTGTTCTTTAAGTTAGGGCAGAAGTCATATATATATATATATATATATATATATATATATATATATATATATATATCCCCATTCCAGCACTCAGCCTTTCTCTATCAATAAAGTTTCTTTCCTTGCCTGTAACTCTGGTGCTCCAGTCTTCTATTCTTGAGAGTGTTCTGGGAGCAAGAACCCTCTAGCATGTCTGTGGATTCCCCCATGACATCTCGCACCCGTGACAATGACAGCTGGTATTCACTAAGCAAGTGCTTCATGTGTGTGTGTGTGAAAGGGGGGAGGTGTGGTGGCCCAAACAATGTATATACACGTATACATTGTAAAGACGATAAAATTAATTAAGTCCTCATAACAACAAAACATGCTTCATGTGTGAGCACACATAGTGCTCACAACAACCTGATGAGTAAGTGCTGCACTCACTTTCCATGTTACAAACAAGGATACAGAAGCAGAGGTAAGGTTCCCCCAAGGTCACACTGTGCATCAGTGGTGGCATTAGAATTCCAACAGCCTGGCTCCACAGCCTATCCATTAGATACTGACCCTAATACTCCCATTTCACACATGGAGTTCAGAAAGGCAGAGTGCCAAAGGCAGCCTGCTAACACTGCAACTGTCTCCCTGCAGGTGGCCACATTGGTGGGAGTTCAGAGCCATCTCTAGAGCGTTCCATGCGGAGCTCCCTCCTCCTGATGGAGCATCCTACCTCTGGACAGCTCCACTGGGAAATGGGTCCCAGTTAGGGAACCTCTTTCTCTCTCCCTCTTGCTGGCATCAGCTCTGGTCCTCTCTCCTTTGCTGCTCTCCTGCAAGTCTGTCAAGAGCTGCCCAAGAAGGCAACACAGATGGGTAGAAGCAACTTTGTCAGCCTTGCCCAGGCCAGGTCCTGCTCCTCTCCACGTGTCAGTTTCTTCCCTTGTAAGATGGAGGTGCTATCTGGATGAGGACAGGTGCTCTACCACTTGAACCAGCGCAGGACAGGCTGACTTATGTCCCCACAAAGCTGGGTGCCAGAGCACAGTAGGAAGGTAATGAGTAAGTCTGGCGACTGGACTAAGATGTTTAGCATTGGATTTCACCTGCAAAATGGGACAAAAATGACCTAAATTCAAAAGAATACTTGAGGAGTCAACAGTAATCCATATAAAGCTCTTGGAACTGTGCAAGCACTTTAGGAAACTTAATAAATGTCAGCTACTACAACTGTTCTTACTAGGCCAGGTTCATTTGGAGTCTTACCCTTCCCTGCCAGGTTTCCTCAGCTTCACCTAGGACCACCTAGGCTGCTTCACCCCTCAAATGTCATGTTCTGTTCAGCGCCAGGACACTTGCCCATGCTGGTCCCTCTACCCAGTTATCTCTTATTTCTCTCTTAGGGCTCAATCCACAGGTCACTTTGTTAAGGAGACCAGCTGCTCACTTTGCCCCATTTGCTCATGTGCTCTTTCCCCCAGAGAAGGTGCTGAAGAAAAAAAAGGCATTCTTCATCCCATCCTCATTGCCTAACAAAACTACCAGGAGGCTAAGACACCAGGCAATTGGGAAAGGAAATCTGCTTTCCCACATACCAAGTCCTTCTGAAGCAGGATAGACAGATGAGGAGATAGGGAAATTAAAACTAATAAATACTAAAAGGGTCAGAGTCTCAGACTCTGACATTACAACCAGGAAGAAGAAACCAAAAAATTAAAAAGATAACAACAACAACAAAAAAAAATCGAACAAACAAAAAATCCAAGAGTAGTTATCTCCCTCCCACCACCTTTTAGATGTTAAGTTATAAGAATAGGGAGACATAAAGGGGCTGTCTGCATCTGCCTTCCCCCTTGAGATGTTAAGAAGCTGCAAGGCTCCTTGACTGGGTAGAGACACAAATATGGAAGGGATGTCTTGCAAAAGAAAGTCCTAAAACTCACCTATTGTCCCTGTGTTTGGGCGGGCCTAGATCACATGTCCATGTTTTAAAATAATAAACAGCTCCCATCTTGGGCACCCAGATCCATTGTCTAATGACTAGGGGTTGATAGATAACATCACCACACGCATTCTCCTACCTCAAAGTAAAAGAACCACCATTTTGAGTCTTCTGTCCCATTTCCTGGTGGAGAGTAGTTGGTGTTTCTCTATCCCCCGCCCCACTTTCCCTACTATATCCTGATATAATAAAATAAATCCTTGCTAAAACTTCCACCTTGTGAGACTCCTTGAAATGCTTTCACTTGTGGATCTCAAGTACTTGTGACTACACAAAACTAGGAAGCAAAGGGAACCCCCTCATCCCTCATCTAGTGACACTTCCAGCCCAGGCTCAGGAAGGGAGACAGGAAGCTTATGAGAAAGCTCTGGAAAAGATATCTTCTATACTGTGCTGAGGCAATGGGCATGAGGGACTTGGGTAACAACCTTCAAAGACAAGGGTCAATCCTCTCCCTAAGATTCTGTTTTTTTCTGGAGTTTTTGTCTCCAAGTGTGCCATGGTTCAAAGCAGCTTCTTCCTCCCCTTTCCGCCAAAGCCAGGCAGACTCATTCTTCTGGGGCTGCTCAGTGCTGGCTACTGGGGAGGAAGAGCATGGGCCTACAGTCTGTGGGTGTGGGTTTCATTTCTCAGCTCCATCACTAGTTTGCCTGGAACAGGCAACAGTTTAGAGGAACATCTCTAAAATGAAGATCAACTCACAGGGCTCCCATCAAGGATACAGCTAGAGGAGGAGTAAGATGAAAGTTAACACACATGGGAACAAATGTGTGATACCTGAGTTTTCTCTCAGCAGTACTCAGAAAATTCAGTAATCACTGTGTAAGTAATCAGACTACAAAAGGGTCTGATCTTCCTCTACCTCAAAGCCCACTGCACTTTGTCTTTAAGACTGCAGGAATGGGGAGGGGGGAGGACAGAGGGCACATGTTCTCAGAGTGGTTAGGCACATGTCCTTAGAGTGGTCAGGTCTTTGTGAAGTGAGGAACTGTGATCTCTTCATCCCAGCACTGCCTCCAACTAGTTCAGACAAGTCCTGGGTATTTTCAGCTACCTTTATCTGATCGGAAATGTTTGGAATTCCACAGCAGAAGCCAAGCTCTGGAGGATTTGGGGATGGGTGCAAATCCCTGCAATACCCTTCCCTCCTGCTCTCCTCCTCCTACAAGGTATGAATGCTCATCGGTCCCATCCCCAAGTCACCAAAAACTCACACAGACCTAAGTCCGAGACTGGGGCTTGCATTGCCCACATTCCAGTTCCTTTAGTCTTCCTTTCTTTCCCTCCTTGTTTTGGTCTTATCCACACTACAATTTTCTATTATACTCACTCAATTGATTTAATTGAGTATGTTGAAAGCTGGGTTGCTGGTACCTCATGCCTGTAATACTAGCTACTTGAGAGGCTGAGATCAGGAGGATCAAGGTTTAAGGCTAGCCCAGGCAAATGGGAGAGCCAATCTTCAAAACAACCAGGGCAAAATAGACTAGAGTTTTGATTAAAGTAGTAGAGTGCCTGCTTTGTAAGTGCAAAACCCTGAGTTCAAATACCCTTAGTCTCACCAAAAAAAGAAAAATAGAACATACTGAAAAATCTCTGATGCCAGTGATGGTGCTAAGAGGGTAGGGCCACCTCAGGTGAGCTGTTCACAGACACTGAATGTCAGAGTACAGACTGGTGTACTGCACTACACCACCACTATCACAAGGCCCAGCTCACAAAACTTCAGTGTTGTGTCATGCATGTGTCTAGTTTAATCCTCTTCCTGAAATTATGGGACACAAGACCCAAAGAAGGTAAAGGGACACCCCTAAAAGCCTCACAAAGACCAAGCTTGGCCTCAGGTTCCTGAATCCTGGAGCTGGAATGGCTTCCAAACCCAGTTCTATGGGGACCATGCTGCTGGACCTGCAGCAAGACCCTTTACCCCTGAACCTAGTGTTCTGGACATACAATGAGAACAGCTGTACCTACTTCACAGGCATAGTAGCAGAATTAAATGGTGCATGGTGAATGATCAATAAATGTTATCTGTTATTTTTTCATAGCGAAAGAGCTCCATTTGGGCTTCATGAGAAGTGCCTCTGTTATTTGTAGCCATAAACAAAAACAACAGCTAATATTTGCATAGCTAATATTTACTGCTTGATTTCTCAAAATCTTCCAAGTAGGTGTTGTCTCCATGTTACCAATGAGGAAACTAAGACTCATAGAAGTGATGAGACTCTGCCTGAGGGTGGGAAGAATGACTGGGGAGGGTGTGTCTGCAAAGCATATTAAATTTGCCAGTGCAATGGGGTAAATGAAGAGGAACTTTACTAAATCCTTCTTCCCATCACCTTTCTCCCACCCAGTATTTACTGAGGATCTGCTGCTCTTAGGACCTGGAAGTCAGAGATGACTTTGAGGACAGGGACACTGCATGTTCTTTGTTCCTGAGTGACCAAGAGATAGGAAAAGGAAGGGTAGGCTGACAGCTGCTCTGTGCTTAGACACTTCCTGCCCCAGCCCAGCTCTGGAAGGCCAGCACTTGCAGAGAGAGAGAGAGTTCCTCCCTCTATCTGGTCAGTATCTTTGAAACAAGTGATGTCAAGTAGCTTTAGTGGCACTGTTCTCTTGAGTTTTCTAAGGTGGAACATGACTTTTTGTGAAGCAGGCTGACCTGTGGAGCTTCAGGAAGGCACGGACACACTGCCCTGCTTAGCTCTGGACCCTCATTCATTCACTAAATCTTTATGAAGTGCTATGTGCTAGGCGCTGTGTGATAAAGCAATCACTGTAGCAGATGAAAATTCTAACCTATATGGGCTTCTGCCCATATAGGCAATAATCAAATGTGTCAGATGGTCATAAATGTTAAAAGAATTATTGTGAGAAAGGGGTAGAGAGAAACATGGAAGAGGGCAAGATTAGAACCCGTGATCAGGGAAAACTTCTTGAGGAAGTACCATTTGATTAGAGACCTGCAATGAAGTGAGGGAATAGGCATTGCAAGAATCTGAGCAAAGACCCTGAGGCAGGAACATG